GACATTCAAAGGAGCCTCTCTCTTCTTCCTTTCCCTCTTGTATTCTAATTTTATTTCTTGCAAGTGCAACATGGCTGCTTGTCCAAAACCCTCTGGTTCCTCTTGTCAGGCCTCCCTGCCTCTCAGCCGAGGTCCCTGGACCCATGGGGTTGAACTCCTCTTGGATGAACCCCTCTTGGAGTTCATCTCATCCATGGGAAGACACTCATTCAATAGATTATCACACAACACAATTTAGAAAAGCAGAGGAAAGAAGCTGAATTTGGCAGGTGGAGGCTAAGAGATCTGGTTTCTAGGAGAAGAAGCTGTAGCTGAGTCCAGAAAGGAATTATCTGGGTTGGGGGAGGGGTGGAGGTTCCAGGGAGAAGGATTACCCTTCGTAAAGGCACAGGTGTGCAAATGCACTGTTGTTCCAGTTGGCTTGAGTCTGAGTTCCTCACCTAAGAGTTGGCAGCAGAGTACAATTTTGGAGTACAATTTCTCCCCTGTCTGTGATAGGAATCACCCCTTTGAGGCTTTTCCTTGCCCCTCAAGGGGCCAGGAATGATCCCCAGAACTGTGGTGAGTCTCCAGTTAAGAAGAAAGGGTTGGGTTGCCCCATCTTCACATGGACCTGGGCTCACCCTCTCACAGCTGGAAGATTCCCGATCCTGCCCGGGCATGGCCCCGTGGTTATTGTGCCGGAATTTGGGATGCTGATGAGGGTGTGACAGACTTTGCAAAGGCTCTGATTATTCCGAAATGCAGTGTGCCACGTGGAGGCAGCTCTCACCAGGCACGGGTACGAGCTACTCAGATTCCATGTGGAGCTGCATGAGTCAACCTTAAAAGCACCAGAGAGGAGGAGGAGGAAGCAAGTGAATCCCATAGAGAGGGCTCGTAACCGGACTTTAGGCATGCACACCCCCAGCAATCAACAAGGGGCAGAAGAAGGCACCCTCGAGAACAATTGGCTGGGCAAAGCACTATTTTTAGCCAAGAAAACAGAAAGGAAGAGATCTTTAAAAACATAATTACTCGATTGTATTTGTAAAACCTTCCGAGAGGTATTTTGTTAGGGGCTGGGAATAGATGAGTCTGGTTTGGCTCTGACTCAAGAGGGGCTCATTGTGGCTACATAAATGAAAAGTTGCAGTAGAGTGTGACAAAGGATCTGCTAGGGAGATTTTTTTTTTTTTTTTTTTTTAAGTCGGCTCGCCCATTGTGGCACTCAGCGCTGGGCTTGAACTCATGACTCTGAGATCAACCTGAGCCAGGATTGAGAGTTAGAGGCTTAACTGACTGAGCCACCCGGGTGAGCCTCGGGAATTTTTTTTTTTTTTTTTTTTTTAAGTGTGATGGGCTCATAGGAGGGGGGTGATCCATTAGCTCCTAGGGACTGGGAAAAGAGGCAACTTCTAAAAGACACAGTAGACATTGCAGCGGGGCCTTTCTTTAAAATTAAATCCCTTGAAATTTCCAATATTCAATCCTATTTGACATAAAAAGGTCAATTTTATGGTTTAACCTAACAGTAGGCGCAGGAATGGCAGGGAGGTTTCATCCTGTCCACCAACTCTAATCAAAGAGTAGCAACTGCCTAGAAGCTGTGTTAAGAACGCTTCTGAGGATGCCAGGATAAAAAGGAAAGGACACTTGGAAATTGATGAATAACCGGTCTGTCCTGGCTAGGGAATGGTGGCTAGTGGTATAAATTGAACACAGTTGCCATCTTTAAATTATAAAGAGGAAAGCCCCCTTCCCCCCTCCTCCCTCAAAATCCTGGATATTAGGGTAAAATTGCTTTATTAGCAAAGGCACAGAAGTCTGAGAAGTATAGAATGCCACCACAGTGGCGGACGGTTCATGCTAGCTGGTGGCAAATGGTCTATGTTGGGGGGGATGGGGTGTGGATAGAAAACACAATGCAAGGGACTCATTAGAAAGCTGCATCACAAGATGCCTTGAATGACCTTCTAAATGCTCCTTATGCTGCTGTTCCTACCCTATTATCTATTTGACTGACTTCTTTAAACAAACACACATGACTCGCCCCTGCCCAAAAAATGCTTGGAGGTTACAGTGTTCTCCTCTACCTCTTTGTTTCTGTTTAATTCAAAGCTTTCTCTTAAGGAAAGGTCACAAATTACTAAGAGAACATACAGTAAGTACTTTGCAAATTAAATTAGAGAATGTTTTTTAGGTAAAATAAAAAGCAAGTCCTGTGACAGTATAGATTTTGTTTTACAAAGGTCAGAATTATTGCATAAAGAATTTTTTTCCCCCACTACCAAGAGGGCTTCCAAAGAAGTTATTTCAACGCAGTTTCTCAGGATCTACAGCGTAAGAGCATTAGGAAAGCTTCATTATGCCCTGCCAGGATTTAGCTTCCTAGAGGGAATCTGTGTTGTGTCCCAATGGGATTCTCTAAATTGCACTGAGAGTGTTGAAAATTGACCCTAAGGTTTTAACTATACAATACTGAAATGTCCTTCTAGATATATTTTTGCTACAACTATGCCATTTTTCTTTTGAAACCAAGGTACCCCCCAAGAAACTTCAGATTTCATTTTAAAAGTGGTTTCGATCCAGGGGTGGACATGAGAGACCCACTGAATTTTCTCACGGGTCCCACCCTAGAAGATGCTGATTTGACAGCTCTCTATGTATCCTATAGAAACGTTCATTTCTTTTTTTTTTTTTTTAAAGATTTTATTTATTTAGCTGACAGAGATCACAAGCAGGCAGAGAGGCAGGCAGAGAGAGAGGAGGAAGCAGGCTCCCTGCTGAGCAGAGAGCCCGATGCGGGGCTTGATCCCAGGACCCTGAGATCATGACCTGAGCTGAAGGCAGAGGCTTAACCCACTGAGCCACCCAGGTGCCCCTAGAAACGTTCATTTCTGTCTAAGGTTGTGGCAGTGAGCGAGAACCTGAGGATGAATGGCCTTTGCAAAGTCAGGCGAAGTACTTGTTGATAAGCAGGGTGGGTGTTGGGGTGTGTCCATGGGATGGGTGTGCCACTCCTGTTGGTTGATTTCAGACCGCACACCCCCATGGGCTGGTGTTCCATTTGTTTGCTATTAATTACCAAGTTATGCCAGTTTCTTGCCAAAACAGGAAATACTTACCAAGAAGAAATTAGACCATGTAAAGTCCCATCTTATATGTTGGGATAAACTTTTTAAATAAAATAGAAGAAAGAAACATCCCATGTAGCAAAGGCTGATTGTAACTCAGACCCAACCAGACTCTGAATACATTTACCACCAAGGGAAGGTCAGTCAGTTTTACTCTTATATCCACACTTTTGTGGGGGCTCTTCTCCAGCTAGAAATGCAGGATACCAGGGTAAATGTCAGAAGGACCAGGGGACATTCCTTCAGATAGAACTTCTGTCCATGGGCTGCTTCTCCGTGTCAAAGAATGGATGGGGGTGGCTGAGTTGGTGATGGAGGGGCCACTTAGGGATTTTCACGCATCTTTGCTTTACCTGGAAATAATGTATAAAATCCAGGGAAACACAGGGAGCAGAAGGTAGAAAAGGAATCTGCAGAAACCTTCTCAGCCCCCCTCATAGGGCCCATCTATTCTGGCTTGGTCCTGAAGGAGGGGGAATAGTGGTCACGGAGACCACCTCTGGAACTGTGTTTGGTTTTTTAGTTCGGGAAAGATGGCTATGTTTTCATGGTTCATGTGGCAACCCCTCTCTGTGTGGCAGAACCCCCACTCACTCTGCAAGTTCCTACTAAGCTTCTGTTGACCTTGGGAAAGCTCCTACAGGGCTGTAGAACCCCTTAGCAAGCCCTAGAGCAGGTCTCCAGAGGTGTGTGTGAGCTCCGAAGATGTGGGTGAGGTCTCCAATGATGTGGGCAGGCTTCTTCTCACGGGGGGGAGCTTTCCAGTTTTGGTGACGGCCGGAGACTCCAAAACCCAAAACCAAATGGAAACAAGTGAACGGAAGCCACAGGGAACACAGTTCCATCATCAGTAATGGGCTGACAACTCCTCAGAAGTCTCTCTCAGTCTTTTCAAAGTCTGAGTGTGAGCTTTGTGGGAGAGAGAATTGATACCCTGCGGATTCCTGACCCTGCTCACCCTTAGAGTGGGCGGTGGTTCAAAACACATCACAGACTGAGGGCATATCTCAGGATTCCACCGCTCCTCTCTGCTGTAAAATTCCATTGTGCCAGGATAAGCCCGGTGCCCTTTGCTTTAAATCAGGCAGAGGACAGTCAGATCTGCAGTGCAGACTTGCTTGGTGAGGTAGCCTCTCCAGCTAGAAAGCTGAGAGCTTTCGGGAAGAAATGAGATACACAGAAGCCAAAGATGGTCTCACCCTGAGCCCAGTGTGGGTCCGGGGTGGGTCACATGGAGGGTGAAAGTTGCATTCATTTCTTCCCCGCTGCACTTCTGTTCTTCCCCTGAAGAACTGATTCAGACAGTCTAAAGGGGGAGGGCGGGGCGGCAAGGGAGGAGAAGTTTTCTCCGATCATAGCAGTTCACATGCTTCCTCTTTACTGAGTGATGATTACGTGCCAGCCCCTGCCCCAGGCACATCTCTAGCCATACGATCCCCAACCCTCCCTGGAGGTAGGTATATTCGCCCCATTTTCCGGATGGGACTCCCGAGGCACAGAGAGGTACAGTGTCTTACCAAGATCACACAGCTAAGTGGCTTCGAGCCAGGCTTGTCATCTAGTTCTCGCCGGTATTTCTCAAGCCCCCTTTGGTGTATGCCGTGCTGCCACCATCACTGTTTTGAAACTGGGTCCTAGGGGTGGCCAGGTTCCCACTACGGGAACCCCAGGTGACAAGGTGTGACCCGTGCTTGAGGGGCCAGAGGGCGGGCTCCCGACTCCCTTCGGCTAAGGCAGGGGGTTGCCCCGGGTGTCTCCACCACATGCACGGGGATGTGGCTGTGTTTTCATTTCTCTGCCATTCTTGTTTGCGTTGCCGCGATCTCTCAGGTGTAGCATGCCTGTTCCCAAACCAGATACCAGCTATCTCTCTCTCTTTCGTAGGCACGGTGCTGCTGTGCCAGGCAAACCAGGAGGGATCTTCCATGTACAGTGCCCCCAGTTCACTTGTATATACTTCCGCAAGTAAGCCCGCTGTCGTGGCTCTCTCTTTGTTTTGTGACATAAATCTGAGTCCAATCACCTTCCCTGCCATGTAAGTTCTCCTCCTCCCCTCCCTCTCTGCTGTACCCTCCCTGTGGCTCCCCGCAAGATGAGGTTGGTTCTCATAAGCATGTCTCTGTGTTTCCCTGTCACCTTAGCATCAAACCCCTTTGCTCATTACGTCTGAACGCTCACTTCCCAGATGTCCCCGTCATCCTTTGTTAAGACCCAGCAGGATCGGGTCCAATGGATGGGACCTGGGGCGTTGGTCTGGGGGTTGGCGCATGGCGGGGAGGGGTGTGGAGCTAAAGCTCACTGCCTGCCTTCTATCACAGCCTTGCAAATTCACATGAAAATGATTGATGGGACACACACAGGCCATCCAAGTGGCCCCCTCACGTGACAAAAGGTGCTTGGGCACCATTTTCTCATGGTGGAAAATAATGACTTGTTTGCAAGCCTATTCTGCCCTTTGCTATGTGATTTCAGGGAGCAGGAGGAGGCAAGAGAAGAATGTGGTTCTCCCCCGTTTAACTGGGTAGAGGAACAACGGGAAAAGGCACTTTGGTAGATATGAACATAGTCATCAAGTGCAAGGGGGAGAAAACCAAAAATAAATATGGAAGATAGATCACAATGTTGACGTGGAAAAACCGAGGATTTCTCTGCCTGGGATGGATGCTCCAGGGTGGAAAATGCCCCAGCCCAGACCCCAGTTCTCAGAACAGGTTGAACAGTTACAGTTCTCGTGGATTCCATCATGGTACCCCAGCTGGGTTGCCCCTCCTCAGAAAGATCCCCAGCCACCACTGAGAACTTCTTATCTATTTCTTAGGCTGTAAAACACGACCCTATGAAATCCCCCATAACTATGAAACTGGTCTTCATTGGGATCAGTGCTCAGCAGTGAGTGTGGGGATGAGGGAAGGAGGGCTGCTGGAGACCAGCTTAGAGAAGGGTTGGGAGGGTGATGAAAAGCAGCAGTAATGAGGATGTGATGAGGAGGAGGATGAGAGACAGAGGGGAATCCTCCCTGAGGGCCAAGATCAAGCGTCTCAATTCCCAAAGGCTCAGAAAAACCAAACTCTTTGCTGGGGGGGCACAGGTTAGAAGCAGTCACCAGAAACCAAAAACATGACTCCGAGAGTCCTGCGGGTTTCTGAAGGTGCCAGGTTATGGGGGTACCCAGGTGTTCCTCCCAACCAGCGTAGCACCTTCAGGAGCAGGTTGGGCATGCATTCGGTGCAGCGTATCTTCCTGTGCCCCGAGAAGCCAGCATCCAGCCATACTGGCAAGAAGTTGTTCTTTCTAAATGTATGGCCGTTGCCTCCTTTGGGCGGTATAAATGTGTGTGCATGTAGCTCATAGAATTAGGAGGCTAGTACGCATTTCCACATGCTCAACCTTGTTTCATCCTCAAAATCTGCACCAGGTAGGTATTATAATGTTTGCTTTACAGCAGAGGAATGGAGGGGGTACTGAGGAGGAGTGATAACCCAGGATCCCACAGCCACGATATGGTAGATTTGGTTTTTGAACCTGGAAAGTTATTCAAAGATGGACTGCCTTTCTGGCTTCGTTTGACCCTAAATATCATTGTCATTCCCTTGTCTCTCTCCCCTACCTTCTCTATCAATGGTGTTTTCTGGAGGAACATTGGCAATCCAAAACTTGACCACAGTTGAGTTCCAGAGGGTTATTTTGTTTTATTCTGTGACATCGTTGTCCTAGAGAACTGTCTAAGATAAAATGTTCCGTATCTGTGCTGTCCAGTATGTGGGCTCCTGGGACAGAGGCACTGCCTTTTTTATTTAATTTAATGTTAATTAATGTTACTCTGATTAGCCCCGTGGGGCTAGTGGCTACCATATTGGAAAGCACGGCTCTCACGGATCATATGAAATATACATTTCTATTTCAGTTCTCTGTTCAAACTAATTCCAAATAAGGACGCATTTGAATCAGTATAACCATTCTAAGGCAGCTTTGGGGGAAGTGTGTATTACCAATATGAAATGTGGGAATCTATCACAAATTCTTCATATTAAAATAGGGGAAGCATCCAGAGGCTACAAAGTCATTCAAAGCAGGCGCCAGCAAAGTACAGCCCAGGGGCCAAATCCAGCCCACAGCCTGTTTTTGTAAAGCTTGTGAGCTAAGAATGGGTCTTAGATTCTTTGAAGGGTTGTAGAAACAAAACAAGAACTAAAGACAACATGTGACAGCGACAGAGGTGGCCTGCAAAGCCTAAAGTATTGTCATTCCAGCGCTTTGCAGAAAAAGCATCGCAGATATAAAGGGTCTGTTTTGTTATTGAAAATCCAAAATGACAATATCTCTTCACTGTTTATACATTTTTTTCCTGAGTTTAAAAGTGAAAATTTATAATAATTATAGAAACTATATAATGTGTGTCCAACACCCTTCATTTTTTTAAATTGCACAATCAATCATAGTACCTACACATTTTTCATCCCATTATTTCCACTGATGATTATGTCATGGGCACTTTATGAAAATATGTTGAGGGCCTCATAATATTCTATCATTTCACAATATTACATTTTAGTCACCCCGCCTCCACTGTTGGTGGGAATTTTTCAGAAATCTTACAGAACTGTCCTTCTGTGGAGTAGTGTTAAAGGAAACAACAATGAATAGTTAATTTTCCTACCCCATCACAAAACAAAACAAAAACCTAGATTCTTCCAATAGGAATCTTCATGTGTTGATCCCGTAAACAATGGTGTCCGGACAAGCTCAGTGAATGTTTTGTAAGAACAGCCAATGCAGAGGCTTCTCCTTCCTCACCTGGGTGGCCAAAGGAGCTGTCCATCACTTCCATCTCGAGGCAACAATGCCAGGTGTGAAGATGATCCATTCCTCCCTGAGACATATTGCTGAGGTTTTTTGCTTTAGTTCTCCAAGTGAGCAATACCTTTTGAGGCTGGGCTGTTTGCCATTAACTGGCTTCTTGGTTTTTTGGTGTTTTGTTTTTTTTTTTTTAAGTTATGTTAAGGTAGCTAACACACAGTACATCACTAGTTTTTGATGTAATGTTCAGTGATTCATTAGTTGCTTATAAGACCCAGTGCCCATCACCATACGTGCCCTCCTTCATACCCATCCCCTGCTTACCCCTTCCCTTGACCACACACTCTTCGGGAACCCTTAGGTTGTTTCCCAGGGTCCAGAGTCTCTCACAGTTTGTCTCCCTCTCTGATTTCTTCCCAGTCAGTTTTCCCTCCCTTCTCCTGTGGTCTTTCTCCCTTGGGTCCCACATGAGTGAAACCATATGATAATTGTCTCTGCTTGACTTATTTCACTCAGCATAATCCCCTCCAGTTCCACCCATGTCGATGCAAAAGTTGGGTAATCGTCCTTTCTGATAGCTGAGTAACATTCCATTGTATATATGGACCACATCTTCATCCACTCATCTGTTGAAGGGCATCTCGGCTCTTTCCACAGTTTGGCTATTGTGGTCATGGCTGCTATGAACATTAGGGTGCATGTGCCCCTTCTTTTCACTACATCTGTATCTTTGGCATTAACACCTAGTAATGCAATCGTTGGGTTGTAGGGTTAGCTGGCTTCTTTGTAGGTTTTCTCTTCCAGATTGAGGTACATGTTCCAGTACAAAGTCATATGCTCTAGAAACAATCCTGCCCTCACGTGGAGGGTCATTTTTGCTTGGTCTCGCTCTCTCTTTTCTCTCTGTCATACACACACACACACACACACACACACACACACACACTGGGGCACACACATGGCCACCGAGGTTCATCTCCTCTCTGAGTGTGACATACACATGGTTGAAAGCCACCTCTCTTGTCTCTGAGGCCTGAATGGTTTGGCCTCTTTGGCTAAGAATCTGGCTTTCTACCCAAAAGCTGAGGATCCCTTACTTCTCAGCAATCTTGCAGGATATACCTGCTTTTTAGCTTGAAAATGTATGTGTTTCTCATGGTTATCTAATAGTTGTACTCCTGAAGAAAGGTGTGTATAAATTACACCTTTGTAAATCAAATCCTATGTGTTTTCTGACTTCCATGATTATTCCTGGGTTTGTGTTTTGTTTTGTTTTTTTCTCCCCCCATGGATCTTTAACTGGCCTTAGGTGTCTTAAACTTAAATTGCCCTTCTGCCTAGCCAAATAGCTAATCATCTGTAAATAATACCCTTACATGCAGTAGGGGAGATGGGTTTTAAAGGAACCCTGCTGAATTCCTCTGTAATGAAAATAATTCCTACTTGAGGTTATCTATTTTTTAAGATGCACTTTTACATAATGGATTTCCCCCCACTTAAGTGAATCATCCTAATAATATGACTAAGGACACGAAAGCATTAAGAGAAAGATTTCCACTCACAGCTCCGTGTCAGTACAATATAATCCTACAGATTCTCCCATGTCTCTGCAATTGGCCTGTTTTTCTCCGCCATCCAGACCTTTATCCCAGTGTGAAACCCCAATTCAACTTGTGTCACGAGACATCACACATCCTCTCACATGGCCCGATGAACAACACTAGCATCCAGAGTGTGAAGTAGGCCTGCCTGCTTTTCAGCAGACACATGGAGTCAAAGCAAAACTCCAGAAAATTAGGCAAGATCACCTTATGCCAGAATGGAAAACATGTACTATTCATAATTTTGTCTTAGGAATGTTAACTTTTCATCAATGAAATGAATTAAAGTAATTACATGAACTACTTTGTTAGTTTTGAAATAATTTTAGTTAATTTAAGAGCATCACGTTTGCTTTGAAGAGCCCACATCTAAGCCTTTAACAGAGGGATTTGGTAAATGCTGGGGCAGAGCTGGTGGGCTCGCTCACCGCCTTCTCCCTCCCAGGGCCAGCAATGGAGGCTCCTCCTGTCTGGCGGAAAGGCACCTGCTTTAGTGTGAGTGCTATCTGCAAACACTGAGTGCTCACTATCTAAAAACTCCAGCTGGAACTTGGAATGTAAAGAACA